CTTTCCCTCTCTGCACCCATGATACTGACCTTTTGAAGAGCCCAGGCTATTGTCTTGTGTACTTAACTTTCTCACAGTCTGGATGTACCTGATTGTTTTTTCAAAGTGACATTCCCGTATTTCCTTAAACTGGAACTTAAGTCTTCTAACATTTTTAAAAAAAAAAAAAAAAGTAAAAATAAACAAGTGAAACTAAGTTTACTAACGTATTCTATCTAAAGCAGTAAATTCAAACTATTATAGTTTTAACAAGTAATTAATGTAGACGTTATGGAGATATTTTACATTTTTTATAGTAAGCCTTGGCAAGCTGGTATGTGTTTTTCATTTTTTTTTTTTTTTTAACATCTTTGGATATATACAAATTAAAACCAGAATGACCAAAATAAAAACAGTAGCGCCATCAAATGTTGGTGAGGAAGCAGAGGCATTGGATCATAATTTTGGGAAAATATACCAGACAAGTGAAAATTACGTTCGCACAAAAACCTGTACGGTAATTTTAATAGCAGATTTATACTTAATAGTCTCAAACTAGAAACAACCCAGATGTCCTTTGAGTGGTGAATGGTTAAGCAACCTGTAATGAGTACTTCATACCATGAAATACTAAGGGAAAAAAAGTAACAAACTAGTGATAATACGCAAGAACTTGGATGAATCTGAGGAAATTATGATGAGTAAAGAAAGCAAGCAAGCCAATGTCAAAAAGTTACATGTTGTATGATTCTATTTATATAACATGCTTGAAGTTACCAAGTTAGAGAAGGGAAGAACAGATTAGCAGCCGCTGGGGGTTAGCAGTGGGGTGGGGGAGGGAGCAAGAGAAGTGGGTAGAGCTGTAAACGGTCGCAGCAGGATCTGTGTGGTGACAGTATTTTATATTGACTGTGATGGTAGCTGCATGAAGTGCGTGTGTTGAAATAGCAGAGAACTAAAGATAAACACGCACACACTTCTCACGTTTTACAGACCTCACTCAGATTAGGTCAGGTCACGTGCACAGCAGCCACGTGTGGCAGTGATGAGTGGGCAGCACAGCTCTAGAGGCATGATTGGATTTGGGTTAAATATTCTTTATTTTTTGAATTGAAGATGCTCCCTACTGCATCTCATCATGTCCCACTATGAGATGCTAACCGTGATCCTGTGTCGAAGGCGTTGACTGCCAGGTTTGCCCACGGTGAGGGGTCCTGCCCTCCACAGGCACCGAGCGAGCACCCTGTTCCCCGCAAGCCTCCCCTCGTGGCTTTAGAATGATGGCCTCTTTCTCGATGCTGGTGGTCACATCAGGTTCGGGTTCAGTCTCCTTTGTTCGTGCTGTAAATATAATAAACGTTAACCTTCAAGTGTAAATGATTTAGGGCCCAGGATTATTCACGTGAGAGCAGGTGAAAGAATGCGTGACTCAGCGCGTGTTTATTGGGCGGCTGTCAGGAGTGCGACCCTGACGCCCTCTTCCATTCGCATGGATGATGAAAACCCACACAGGGAAAGA